AAAGTGCCCGGCTCGGCAGCGGCGGGGAGGCGGGGAACGGAAGCAGCCCGGGGCTGAGTGCGGCTCCCGCCGGGCTGCCTCTGGCCGAGGTGTCTGTGTTTGGCTGCGAGCCTCACGCCCTGCATGGGTGTTCCGAGTTTTGTGTCACAAAAACCTGGCCAGAAGCCGCTTCCAGCTACCTGGGCAGCGGGGGAGAATCCCGCCGTTCCCAGCTGGGCCCACGCCAGGTGTTTACTGCCTTGGGTGCCGTGCCCAGCGCTGTCGCCTCCGTGAGGCGGCACCGCCTGGAAACCGCTGGGGTGTCAGGCTGCGGCTTTGGCTCCCATGAGAACTCCAGGAAAGATAGATCAGATTTTTTTTTTTTTTTTTTTCCCCCTGTATTTTTCCCGGCACCCAGTAGTATCCTTAGAGCATATTTATTGACTGGAAGAATTGTACTGCTGCATTCCTCTCTGCTTGTTTTGCAGCTCTCTAAAGGGAACATGGGATCTCTTCTCTGGGGTTGCTTGGCCTGCTTGAGGATGCTGCTCCACTGTAACATTTTCTCAATATTCAGCCTTTAGGGTGAACTTCGTCTAGCTGCAATCTTCACAGAGCTTCCAGCTTGTAATACTGAGTACATGAGAATAGTGGCAGATTTGTCACTTTTTCTTAGTGTGCTTTTTAGAAGTACATGAATAACAATAGTATAATATTGTGGAGGTAATGAGAAGAAAGTGGAAGTTCTGTCTTTGTGATTAAGTGCCTTTACATATCTTTTACATATTTAGTATGTTTCTTAACTACCTGTGTAGTATTTTGTGTATTGGGAAAACCTACAGTGAACTTTATGCAATACTAAGAGCTTTGACTGTTGGTTTTACTTTCTAAAGTTTAAATATTTGCTAATATACGTTATCTTAGAGGTTTTTAAAAGACATTTGGGTGAGAACAATTCTTGATGTCTATCAGCATAAAATACAAAAGCCTCCTTTTATTTCTGAAGAATTATTAGGGTCTCAAAATTTGGTGAGTCCAATTGGCTTATTGTTTTAAGTACCCATGTGCAGTTAACATGTTAAGTTAACATGTTAACTTAACATGTTAAGGAGAAGTTAACATGTAGGAGTCAGGTGCTGAGCAAGTATTTGAGCTTAGCAAATATTTCCATATTGAGAATTGAGTGTAGATTGTATTTCCAAGACCCTTGGGTACTGCAAAAGAGCTTTGTAGAAATGGCAAACCTTCAAGAGATCAGCCTCTCTGCTGTTAGCTTTCTTTTTTCTTAAAGCTATACCATGGAGGAAAACGTGTGCCTGCTGTACAGCAGTTTTCTGTGGTTGGAACTGGTTGAGTGATGCTGAATCAAGCTTTGTTTAAAAGATTTTGTCAGGCCATGCCATTACTAACATAAGAGAAAGTTTTGAACCCTGAGGCGAAAGGTTCTGAGGGTGATGAAAGGGAGAATAGTTGCTTCTGATTTTTTTCCTTTCTCTCTTTTCTTACACTAGTAAGGAAATCTTTGACTACATATGCCTTTCTGGTTTGTTGAAGAATTCAGTATAATGTGATTACCAGTGATTACCAGTGATTTGTCAGAATGACATTCTTTTCGGAAGAAGCAGGACATTCCTTTTGACCTGCCTGCATTATTTGCAAGTATTGATTCACTCAAATCTTTGAAACCAGAAAATTTGCTCTTTTGAGCTTTGAACCAGAACTTTTTCCCCCGTTGAAACAAAGAAACAAAAAATGTTTGAAAATATGTATAACATTTCATTATAAAATTCAATATTTTTAAAAAAAGTTAATATCTAGGAGGAGGAACCTGACATAAAAACGAAACACTTTAATTTAGGATAATATCAAAACAATTTTTTAATTTGCTTTACTTAACCATTTTACTCTGAAATCACAGAATCACAGAATGAGCATGTGTGTATTATAGTTTCAGTGCAATCAATAACATTCCAGTGATTTAATTTTTTTAAGAAATAATTTGTCTTGCTGCCCTGCTATTAAAATAGAGCATGTCAATGTCCTTCAGCAATATCAGAGTGCTTAAAAACACTTTGATTATTCTGTGTTTAATGCTTACTAAATTATTTCAGGAAAGCGAAATAATGAATTTGATGATCAAGTTCAAACAACTACCTTTGGTTCCAACAATTTGCTCAAATATTTAAGCTTCTAGTTTAAATTCTTTGCTAGATCAAGGAACAGTTTCCTCCTGTGCTTCCAAGGCTCCTTCTCAACAGATGGAAGGCATTACTGGCCTTTCCGAGAACTTAAATTGCACATGATTTTATTTGTCTCTTTAGAAACATAATGACCCTTTTTCTTGAGTTATCTCCTTCTCTAACTAAAAAGTTATAGTCTTTTTAATTACTCTATGTCTGCTGTAATGGGCCTCCCTGGTCTATTTCTGTTTTTCTGGCTCTTTGAGATGATGTAATCCTCTCTGAATGCAGTACATGAGAGAGGAGGAAAGCACAGTCTGCATTGCAATGTTGCCAGAATTAGAGATTCTTAGATGTAAAGTACGTTTATACTTGTTTGTGATTCTTTATGCAAAGTAAATCTCACAGATTACTTAATTTAAATTTTGCATTTGTATAATTTTCAGAAAAAGATGTTTTACAGTGTACTGGTTGCAGAAGGAATGGCTGACTTTTATCTCTCTTGATGAGCTTTACTTTTGGGTGGGTAAGTTACAAAAAGATTATTCCTTTAGTGTTATATATAAATATCTGTATGAACATCAGACAACTCTCAGACTTGGAGAATAGAATAAAAACATGTCTGAAGCACAGAAACATGCTCAGAAAGTGTTCCCATGCCAGTGTGGCCCAGTGTAGCTAGAGGAACATCTTACTGCCCTTGAACAGAGCCGCCAACAGGCATTGGCCCAGATAAGTGTTTACAGCTTTCCCTCAGCCTGTGAGTGTGAAGTGTCAAGTTGATAATTTGAAAAAGCCTAATAAACTAAAGTCCCAGTCCTGCCTGGGTTTTAGGGACATTTTGTTTAGGACCAAAAAAATTGCAGGCAAATGTCTCTGCAAGCATGTTCTCTACAGATCATGCTGTTAATAAAGGAAAGGTGACCCTAAAATGGAAACTTTTAAGCCTTCCAATCCTTTCAATGATACAGGGGCCCTGTACAGTTTGTTAAGTTTTGTGTGTAGACACATTTAGGTGTAGATCCAGATATATATATAAGGTCTTTGCCTATTTGGAGCTTTTAATCAATAAAATCATCAATCCAGCCCCTATTTCTTGCTAAACCTGGCTAATTTTTTAAGACATTGTTACTGAGCAATTTACTACAGAAGAAAGCTCTGACTCAGAAAAGTGAGAGGTGGAAAGGAGTATTAAATTTTTCAAAATTTTTTTATGGATAAGACAAGAAATATCAATTTTTTTATTTTTTATTTTTCCCTTGGATACAGAAATGGAATTGCACCTATCTCTGTATGTTTTTTAGGGGGTAAAAAACCCCAGATTGAAAAACTATTTTTGTTGCTTTATTTCTCTAAGAGTATCTTGTAGTCGCCTAAAATACTGGTTTTAGACCTTTGTTCCTTATCTGAAATATATTCACAGTTCATGGTGTGAATTGTCTTAGTTGAAAATACTGTTTATTTTATTGTGTGAAACAGAACTAATTATGCAATAAGTATTTATAATTTTTTCAGGTTCCCAAATACATTGCTGAGGAGCCAAATGGTAGAAATGTAGAGGTGAGTTTCTTTAGCTTGCATTTAAAGAAGTACACAGCATTCTGTCTTATGGATATGGTTTGTCTTGGAGTCAAAATACCTCTGACAGCAATTTTTTCTAGGATTACACAAATTCAGATATACTGGGTAATGGAAATTCTAAATACTGTGTAAATATGATGACTGCCTTCACCATAAAAAGTGAAAATATTGGGGTTTTTTACTCAACTTCAGTGGGAATTAGCTATGGCTTTAAATACTTTAGAAAAGGCAAATGAGAAGTCACAGCCTTTTCCTGTAAATTCAGGATTTTAAATAACAGTTGAAAAAACCAGGGCTGATTTTGCTTTATGTCTCTGCTGCCGTTGTGATCTGCTTTGGGCAGTGATCCCTGGTCCTGAGCAGGTTGGTAACTGCTAGTTCAGGGTAGCTTTCTCCTTGGGAAGGTCAGTTTGGGCAGAGTCAGAATTCAAGACTCTGTGAAAGGTCAAGGTTCTACATTGTTTTATAATTTCATCTTGAATTGGAAATGTATAAGCTTTCATTACTATTTAACATGTAAATGCTTAATGTAATAAAATACAGACTAGGTAAGTATACCTAGATATAAATGCTATATTAGAGCATAAATTAAACCAGAAGTAATTTGTTTTACAAACAAATTAGAATTCTCACTATATTCACTATAAAAAATGTTTTTCAAATTTCATAATTAGCTATCAAAAAATACTTCCTTTATGCTGTAGAATCAGTAGCATTATATTGGTACAGAAATATATATAAAGAGGAGCAGATTCCCAGTATTCACCAGATCATTATCACCAACATAAAACAACCTCTCTGAAATTCTGACTTTTGACCTTTTTTGCATATTAAGTTGCTGTTATTAATACAAATTATTATTTTTTGCAAATCAACCTATCATCAAATAGTATTACACTGATTGTATTTCACAGTCTGTGTTGAAATAGTTACTAACTGATAAGAATATTGTAAATATTCTGAGTGAATTTTGACTGCTTCACATTTATAAATGAAGG